GCCTGCCCGAGCTGCGTACTGCAGGCCTGCCAGACACACGAAAGCGAGCGACCCGCCTCCCGCTGAACCGAGCAGCGTCCCCCAGGCGCCAAGCGCGCTCGCACACAGGCGAGCAGCTCCCAGCCTGCCCGAGCCACTTACCGCGGGCCTGCCAGACGCGTGAAAGTGAGCAACCCGCCTGCCACTGAACCGAGCAGCCTCCCTCAGCCCTGCTGGGCGTGCGCTGGCAAACAGCTCACCTCACGCTCAACTGAACCGCGGAGCACGGGGGCAGGCAGCCCACCTCCTGCCGCGAGCACCCACTGGGGAACCCCATTTGGGTCTCCCCTTTATTTTTATTATTATCTTTTATCTTAGAAGGTTCAGCAGGAGCACTGACGTGGCCCTGAGGGCTGGGGTGCCACTACAAGGTCACCTGAATTACAGGGTCAGGGGGTCCACGCCCACCAACCGCTCCTCGGAAACCCTATAAAAGAGCATTAGGGGAGGGACGTCCTGCGCTTCCCTGACCCAGCAACACAGGCTAGCCCACTGCCTAACCTCCAAGGCTCAAACCCTGCCAGCAAGGCACAAGCTGGCATTAGCCAGCACAAGGGGAGACACCCTGAGGAGATTTTTACCAACAGCAACAAGGCAATCCTGCTGTGCCCCGGCAGATTAAGGGACTAGACTGCAGAAACCTTTGAACTGTAGGGTCGGAAGTTCGGGCCCACTAGCTGCTCCTTAGAAACCCTATAAAGGATACATAGTTTGGCTTTCCTTTCTTTCTTTCTTTTTGCTCTGCGGGCTAAGGGACCAGACTGCAGAGCACTTTTAACTGCAAGATCGGTAGACCGCCCCCACCAGCTGCTCCTTATAAAACCGATAAAGGTTTTTTTTTTTTGTTGTTGTTGTTGTTTTGTTTTTTCTTTGCTGTTGTTTGTTTTTACTATTATTACTTTTTTTTCCTTTTCCTCTGTTCTCTTTCTTTTTGTATGTGTGACTAGAAGCTGCCTCATTTAATCTCATTTTTTCTGGGGCTGAATCCTTTCTCTCTTTTCTGTTTCTCTCTCTCTCTCTCTCTTTTTTTTTTTTTTTTGTTTTGTTTTGTGTTTTTGTTTTTGATTTCTGTCTCTTCTTTCATGCGGTTGTTCTTTTTTTGTCTTGCTTCATTATTATCTCATTATCGCTTTTGTTTTTTACTTTGCTTCTGAATTTGTTTGCTACCCAACTGGTGTTGCTTGGAGGACACATAGCCTCCCTTCCACTATCGGAAAACCCCATTTTTGTTTTTGATTTTGAGTTTGGCTTTGTTTTCTACCCGACTGGAGTTGTTTGGCTGCCACATAAAAGATTAAAAAGGGAAGACCACACCCTGACCACATCATACTGGAGGCAATCAGAAAACATAAAAAAATTACCAAACTACATACTTAATTAATTATTAGGGCCACAGACAAACATTAATCATGCCCAAGAAGCAAAAGCAGATGTCCATAGCGGCACATGTCCAAAAAAAGATAAAATATCTGAGACAAATGAACCAGAAGTAAACTTTCTCTCCATGATGGAAGGAGGGCAGGCCCTGGAAATGCCTGAGAAAGAATTCA